ACAGAGCACAGGACTGTGAGAAAGAACTGTACCTCCTTGCAGGCCTGGAATTTCTACCAGAAATCTGCACGTCATTTCAGTTATAGTCTACTTAAAGGAAGTGTTAAAACCACTCGGATAATTAGAGAGAAAACACAAGGAGGCTAAAGAAGGTTTATGTCCCATGCAGCTATTTACTGACCACATCAACTAATATTTTATGGTATTTTAACAATTTTGGCCAGTATTGATACAGTCTAGTGCATCTGATGAAAAAGCAAGATCGGCACTTAAATTCACCAGTATCTACTGAAACACACCATCTCAGGACAAACTTAATCTATTACTGTTTTTAGTCCAGCTAAAACCTCAATTACCTAACTGATACAATTAAGTGTTTAAAAGTCAGTTGGCTGTGATTTCCAGGGATTATTCGGGTACTTCTGAAACCTGCAGGACCAGGACTGCCTAAACCAGTCACAGCTGATACATCATATCTCAGTGACTCACTGTCAGGGGCTTCTTGTCATTATCAAGTTTCTCTTTCCACATCTACAAATTTAAAAGGCCACTTTTTATCCTACCATATACAGATCCATCAGGATTACATGTGATCATAAAATAGCTTAAAGTTCAGTAGAGTACCATACAGTTGTTTTCACGTAAAGATTGAAGAACATGGTGTAATAAGTGAAAAACAATCTAAACTGTCTTTTTACAGCAGTGTAGCTATTTTAGATTTTTATATTACAATAAAGTGCACTCTAGAACACAATTAAGCCAACAACCTCCACACACAGGACAGAAGACGGGTACTGTCAAGGAAATTTAACTAATGAGCATTGATGTATAAAGCTCTCAGTGTAATGCTGTAGTGCTTAGAAACAGTTGAATTTGTAACAGAGGATTTTGTAATTTGTAACACTTCAGTAGCAGTGATTGTGACCAGGATAAGAAAAGCATATTAGAAACGAGTAATGTGCCTTCTTATGACAATAAATATATCAGTTCAGAGAGGTCAGAGAGAAGACTACAGGGCCAGATTAGCTCAGTCAAACTGGGCTGTAGAAGGCAGGTCTCTACTAACACTTGGCTTCACTTTCTCAATCTGCCAGGATTGTACGAGGACAAACACACACAGGACTTACATTTCTCCAGTGATATACTCCAGCCGCTTCCCCACTGTAGCCTTCGCTTCATCCAGGTCCTGTTTGACTAGAACTGGGCCAATCAGCTTGTAGACAGTGTTCTGAGCCTCCAGCAAGTCCAGCTCCTGCCCCCACAAAGCCAGAGCAGAAGATAAACCAGTTAGCCCTCAGAGCCACATGGGAGGACCTGCAACTCACCCTTAGTAAAGGCTTCAGCCTCACACCACAAAGGAGACGCACATCTGAAGAAGCGACAAGCAGCAGGGAATAAAACTCTCTCTGATGCTGACGAACCAGCAACAGAACCAGAAAGTCAAAACAGAGGATCAAAGAGGTCTGAAGGGAGAGTGGCGCCTCACCTCCTTCACGATGTTGTTCTCCGTCAGCTGGGCTTCCAGCTTCTGTCTCGCCGACATGCTTTTACTCAGATCTGCAAAGAAACAGTTTTAATATTTAGGCCTCCTATTTCCCAAGCAGTCGCAGCTCTCAGGGAACGTGAGTAACATAGAGGCCAGTGTGACAGTCACATTAACGCACCACTACTCTCTACCTATCGTCTTCTGCGTCAGCCCACAGGCTTTTACTGGAACAGGCAGAGCACACTCCTTCACAGCCACAGATCAGCAGTTCTTCATACATCAGTAATGACACTTTAAAAGCACAAATATTGCCTTAAACACTCTTAGCCCTCCATCCATCTCCTAATCGCTTCATCCAGTTCAGGGCCACACAGGAGCCACAGTCTCTCCCGGCTAGCAACAGGCTCAGGGCTGGGTACCCCAGACGGGACCCCAGTCCATCCCAGGAGACACACAGACACACACACTCGCACCAGGGCCAGTTTTCCCAGAAGCTGATCAACCCACCAGCACAGTCTGGACTGTGGGAGGAAACCCACTCGAACACTGAGAGAACATATAAGCTCCACACAAACAGCACCCCAGGTCCCAGTACCATGAGGCAGCAGTGCCGCCCCCTTTATTACTGCACGATTCATTATCATCACCTAGAGCTGAGGCAGAAACCCCAGGCTCCTTCACATTAAAGCGGCGTTATGTTAACACGAAGAAGGACACACAAGCGATTGGGACGCTCCCCGTGAGCTGACCTTTAACAATTCAACAAAGTCGCTACCGGAGTGGTCACCCACTTAAAGCACTGGTCATTTCACATTCAGCTTCGAGTTTTGTGAGTCTCCAGTATCAGACGTGTCCAGCGACACGATGACCAGAACAGTGCGTCCGTAGCCACTATCAGCTCAAAATACAGAATGCGATAGACACCACTTTGTATCTAGGAGAACTGCAATAATAAATTCAACTTTGCCTTTCTGGGTCTGTTGATATTTTTCGAGCTCAGTTTGAAGTCTCTTCTGGATTGCTTCCGCCATCGCTGGTCCAACACCAGGTTTTAGGGTACCAAAAGCGGACGGAATAATATTCCGATAAAAATGCCAAATATTTTTTTTTTAATTATTGGGCTCGGCAGCCTTTTTACCACCTCGCCGCACCACCTGCCTAGCTTCACAGTCTGAGACAGGAAGAGCTATGGCGTCGCACCGGATATGACGCTACCACGGCACTGACTTGTGATGGTAAAAGACGCCATGTTGGTAAGGGACAGAGAAATAAGAAAAAAGGTTGGGTTGGTTTTGGATAGACTTGGAAGACTTTCTATTTAAGCATCTAACTGAATGTTAGAGTTAAGGAGTTTGATATAATTCGCAAGATGTAAATAACATGTATTTATCATTAATCTGTTATTAATAATGGGTAAATGTATACACTCAACTGTCGCTTCTCCTTCCTTTGATATTTATAAGATGGAAATGCGATATTCCATTAAAAAGTTTAAATACACTAATGCAAAAATGCATTGCAAAGATACATTTTGTATTCAGGTTTGTAATTACCTCTGGCAGTGTATTTGTTTCACTACCGCTTTTTCCTTCTCTCATTTGTATTATTTGATGTTCAAACGTTTGAAAAAATAAGAAAAACATTATCGTTTACCGAAAAGCAGGATCGTTTGCATAAAATGCGTAATATAAGAATTACGAACACGTTTAGATGTATAGATTCATTAACTATTTTCCCTAACTCATTTTGTATATAAGACGTATACATGCAAGTACACAGTAGCATGCGCACTCGTGTTTTGTAAATGACCCATCCTGCCGGCTGTAAGAGAGCTACAAGCAGGAACGAGCTGGCGCTGAGTGTTTCCCTTCCTTCTACTCATTCAGCACTGGACAAGAAATCAACACCCTGTCGCCACTGCAACACAACTAAAAAGCATCATCTACTGTCATTCGATAATTTCATGCACTTTGCAAATTACTGTTTTTTAGGATCAGAAATAGCCTCAGCGCCCTCCTTTAAAAGGTTTTGTATCCCAAAACCAGAACCGCAGGAGCCTCTCGCTGTATGTGTTGGGTGAAATATAGAGACACTGAGTCTGGTGAGTCAGCAGTTATGGTTACAGCCTCCAGCTTCTGGAACACAATTCTATCAATTAGATTCTCATCTAATTTATAACTCCTCAAACTAAAGTGAAATCATTGCTTCATGCAAATCAGTCTTTGCAATCATGAAACTTCTTCCTCCTTATCCAACATCATGCTCTCCATCTTGATCAGTTCTAATGTACTTCTTGAAACTTTCAATGTATTTCTTGTCAGTGCTTATATACACTTTACCTCTTGAAATATCTATCATACACTATGTCTTGAAATGTCTTTTCTGCATCTTGTATCTCAAGGGCCGTGTCCTGCCCAGGGACCACAGCTGCAAATTTGCTTTCTAGCAGACACTGGTGCAGATGAAGAGCTGTGCGCTGTCCTCCTCTTCAGCTCCTTCTTCTCCAGCACTTCACCCAAAAACAAGGCACGTTTGGAATGAAACCATTAGTATGACACACTCTCAGTCACCACAGGTATCTTACCTGTCAGCTGCAGGTCCACTGTCACTAGAGAACTATTTAGGGATTTTAAACCTTCACTGAATGCGTTTTCCAGATAAGGCCATTCCTTCTTTCCAAATTACCCTTTTTTTGGTTTGAGTCACTTCAATTCAGGGGTGGAAATACAGATCTTTATTTGCACAACAATTCTCATCTCTTCTGTAAAACATCAGGATTTGTGTAGCAAACTGGAATTGTTGCTCATTTGAATTTTCTCCCTTTTACAAACAGGACTGGCTGCTGTGCATATGAATGAACTTGTGTACTCTCGTCACAGAGCAACATGACAAGACAATTGAATACTGGCAACATTCTGTGAGAATTAGAGCACTTTCTGCACAGAACTTCAGTAATGTAGCCATTTATAATAGTTTGAAAGCAGACACTTGAAATGAACAAACCACCCATAACTGTGATCAGTTACATTACATTCCGTCTCAAACCACAATGTAGTGCTGCCTGCCTCAATCCCAGATTCTAATAATAGCACAAAGACAAAGGACTGCAGCATCAGAGTGGACTTTATTACAGCTCATCTGTGGCAGAAAACTGCCCCAGGTCAGGAGGAGAGGTCTGACCACTGGAGAAACGGGTGGAATAGTCTGTGTGGATGAAGCCACAGTGTCCACAGGGCCCAGTCCCTCGCTGGCTCACTGTTTCTTCTTCTGCACGTGGGCACAGTCATACTTCCCACGGACGACCTTGAGCTTGACCCCGGGCAGGTCCTGCGTGCGCCCACCCTCCACCAGCACGATGTTGTGCTCCTGCAGGTTGTGCCCCTCCCCGGGGATGAAGCACACCACCTCCCGCCCGTTCGACAGACGCACGCGGGCACACTTCCGGTTGGCCGAGTTGGGCTTCTTGGGCTTGCGAATCAGGGTCTTCAGCACCACGCCCTTCAGCTGCGGGCGGCCGAAGGTGGGGCTGACGCGGGGCGGCTCGGGGCGCGGCCGGCCCTGGCGGTGCATCTGATTGAGAGTGGCCATCCCACGCAGAGGGGCCAGGGGCCAGCTGGCCACACCGCCTGCCCCGTGCACACCTGCAGGACGGAGAAAGCGAGGAACAGCATGAGAGAGGGAACAGGCCGGTCAAGACCTGTCTCACACACTCCAAGGAACTGCTTCTCCATCGCCTCTACCCAAGATGTACCAAGTATGTCGCTTCATACTTCTCTACCGGGTCACCGCAGAACCGTATAAGTACAGCAGAACCTTCAGTTACAGCACCCTAGGCCCCGGATGCTGCTGCAGAGCTGGGACGGACAGGGGACACCTGTATCAGCGCCCCTTGGCAGACGAGGTGGTACAGACAGCATGCATGGGTTAGGTCAGGATTTCTCCTGTGTGTGAAATTCTTTTAAATGACTTATTAAAATCAAAATGGTTGTAGCATGTAAATGCTAGCGGTTCACAAATTAAAACCACACCTATTTTGTGCACAGAAAGATTTTTTTTACCATTTTCAATAATTATATGATTCAAACACAACTGCAAACCATTCAAATACTTTGTAGTTTTGTTTCATTAAGCACCATTTCACCATTTGTTTCATAATGTTATTCCAACATTATACTGAGCAATTCATTTAAAAATTAAATTTTACCCTATTATCAGTTTCTCAGCCAATCTGCAGCTTTGCTTGAGTCACCACAGAACTGCCAAAGCTTTTATGTTCTAATAGGTTTGTTTCTATGTGATGTTTGTGATTTTCACACAGTGCTCAAACGTCAAACACATAATCAGGTGCACATATACCCTTTTTCTCAGGTGCTTCACTCACATACTCCTGCAGTTTACTGCTCATTCTGATTGTCTTTTCCCTGTAAGGAGCTCCCGGCAAGAACGCGCAACAGGCCCCAATCCCAAGGCCTGCTACAGTCACTGTGCTTGAACTGGCACCAGCAGGTTGGCAGGACTGGCCCAGGACACTCACCCCAGAGCAGCGCTGACACCACTGGCCGCAGATTGGAGAGCAAAGCCATCCCTGTGCTGCGGGACTCCTGGGGAGAGAACAGAAGCAAGGCGCCGTGAGGTGTCATCAGCACCAAGGCACCTTCCTGGCACATTTCAACTAACGAGAGAAGAAGCGACTCCTCCGATAGTCAAATACACGTCACAGGCATTGGCACCATAACTCAAGTCAGCTTCCTGTTACACTGTGATGTTTTAAGCTCTGCAAAATCTAGCACAAATTGCCAGGAGCAAGGGAGAAAAACTAAAAATTTAACTTTGATGTCACACTTCTGTTGTCTACTCCCTCCTACTAATGTCTTAGACAAAATCCCCAAGTAACAAACTTATAAATCTCCAGCCTCTTTGTGTGCCTACTGCACAAAAGCCTCTTGTAGTTTGTAAAACCTGGAGCGGATCAGACTGCTGCGCACTGGGAATCTGACTGACAGCACTGTCACACCTGGAGCGGATCAGACTGCTGCACACTGGGAGTCTGACTGACAGCACTGTCACACCTGGAGCGGATCAGACTGCTGCACACTGGGAGTCTGACAGCACTGTCACACCTGGAGCGGATCAGACTGCTGCACACTGGGAGTCTGACTGACAGCACTGT